TCCTGCTGACAACTACTAATCAATACAATTTCACACTGTGGATCGTTTATACCATAGTCTTAGTTGTCATCTAGTTACATGCAGTGTAGTAGTCAGCATGTGATTTTGCAAACTTCTGGGTAAACTCCTACAAAGCGGCTATCTTCATGTACTTCAAAACCAAAAACGTTTCAGCTGGCACTTGTTTCTGTGTTCCTGTGTGTTGAATTGTGTTTTCCGCTGAAGAGAAAACCCTTAGTGATCTTACTTATTTTGTTTGCATAATCCCTTGTATACATTTCACATTGAGGTTTTGGGGAGCAGTCGTTTTCTCCGCTATTTACAAACCAAAAAGTCCAAAATATAAAAGCTTGGGGGTAGGGATAGCTAACAGATAATTGTCTTACAGAAGCTATGTGCTGTTGGGGTGGGAACCTTCCCAGAGCTTAATCAAAGAAGTCAGGGAGTTGCAACATATCTGTTTTTTCCAAGGTTCTGGGACTGCCTGGCTTGCCTGTAGTTTCCTGGACCCTGAACATTAAAACATTGTGGGTGCTTGGTTATCTATGCTTAGGTGTTGCTACTGTTCATGACTAAGACAAATGTGCAGAGGTTCATTTCATATTAAGAGCCAATTAAAAAATTCTCAGGTAAATTTTATTTGCCTAATTATAGAATAATACTGCAAGGGCTGTGAGCTAGTTAAATTCATCTTCTGTACCAGGTTATTGCAAACACAGTCACCTTTGCTGTTTTCCACAGTCACAGTCCCTCTTATGAGTGGCTGCACAGAGCATTACTCAAAAAGCAACCATTGACAGGCTGACCATCTCATTTTTTTCACTATTTGTTACATTGTTCTAGGAAAGCAATACGAGCAGCCTTTAAAACTAGAGAGAGAGCAGCTATTCTGACTACTCATTATACAGAAGAAGCAGATGCAGTGTGTGATCGAGTGGCAATCTTGGTGTCTGGAAAGCTAAGGTATTTGCTCAATAATGGTGGCATCTTGTGGTTGAGAAGTACAAATTTATGCTTTAAAAATATCATAATGATTCTGACTTTAAATCCACTTTTGCCTGTGTGTCTCTTCCACTCCTGTACACAACATTTATAGGTGTATTGGCACAGTTCAACACCTCAAGAGTAAATTTGGCAGAGGATACTTCTTAGAAATTAAATTAAAAGGAATGCCAGATACAAATCAGAAGGAACGTCTTCAAAGGGAGATTTTGCACATCTTTCCAAATGCAAATCGTCAGGAAAGGTAAAAAGCAATAATTATAATAAATCTGTACATTAAATGTAAAAAAGAAAGAAAATAATTATAATTGCAATATTTTATAAAGAACACAAAATTAAAATGTTTCTAATTATTTAAGCAATCAGATTAATTTCTGCAATGGATGCTATACACCTTGTAGTATTGTTCTCTAAGGGGAAATACAGCCCTAGTAAATCAGAAATCAAGGAAAGCCATTATGCATGTGGCTTAATCCTGTGTGCATGGGATTCTGGAGTGTAACGTTTTTCTCCCAGCAGCTGATGAAAGGAGGTTATATGTGTCTCTGACATGGGGAATACAGATATTTCCTTGAGGGTTTTTTCCCCTATGACCCTATGACATGATACTTGAAACATTCTGAACCATTATTTATTTATTTATTTATTGGATTTTTATCTCAACCTTCCCTGCATGCAGGGCTCAGGGTGGCTCACAATTAAAACACAAATAAAACAATACAAACGTGCTATACTTGTGCAAAATTAATCACACCAAGATGGCCCATAAACCTAGGAGCATGCTCCTATGTGTCTATAAAAATGCCCTGGTTACAATATTGTAACAAATACCCAAAGAAACTTTTTTTGGGTAAGGAAGTATAATCAGACATTTTCCTTTGCTGTTCCTTATCTGTACCCCAGTTCCATGCATATGTTTTTAGAAATGCAAGCAAGTGAACACTGTTTATTTTGGGGGGATGAAATCTAATCTTTGCATGAAACTCAGGCTCTCCTATTTTCTGGGTCCCTTGGTTGAGAAATTCCATTCAGCTTGGTTCATTTATTACTTTTTCCCTGAAATCAGGAAGAAGGTACTTGTAGTAGTTTAAGGTTTCTTCCCCAAAATTACAAGTGAACAAACTCTAGGTCATTGATATGGTAAATCAACAGTTTTCATTCTTATAGCGGTTTGAACTTGGCATTTGGAAGATTTGCATTTATTTGAATAGCAATCAGTACATCAATTAGATTGAAGGTCAAAGAAGAAGGGGATGGCAAAGGATGAGATAGTTAGACAGTGTTATTGAGGCAACGAACTTGAAATTAAGCAAACTCCGGAGCACGACGGAAGACAGGAGGGCCTGGCATGATGTGGTCCATGGGGTCGCGAAGAGTTGCGACTCGACTGTGCGACTGAACAACACATCAGTTAGACTAACTCAGTTGAATGTCACTAGAAGTACTGCTCTTCTTTCATTGATCTTATGTTTGAATCCCATTTTTAATACCTGTTCATTCAGAAGTAAGCTGATAGAATGGCTAAAACCTCTAGCATGATCCCAAATTTCCAAATAGTTGCTAAAGTTCATAATTCAGACCTAGAAGGCTTGAACATTTGCCTGTATTATGAGATGAGCGTCACTGCCCTGAGAACTCTTCTCCAGCTGGGAACATAATCTGATCTGGAGAAGACTCTTCCCATCTCACTCTGGTGCTAGGTGTAAAGAGACCTGGGACATCAAGGCATAGGAATATTTAACTTACAGGGTGTTCTGCTAAAACTGTGTTTTCATGGGTTCCTGGCATCTGAGATGCTGTTGTTGAAGCAGTCTAGCAGGCACCAGAGATGAAGAAGGGACACCTTTCTGTTAGTGCTGTCACTGCCATGTTAGGTTAAGTAAGATGAAAAGGTAGCAGGATACAGGGGCTTGCAGGTGAGCTGGGGGGAGCCGTTTAGACCCTCTTGCGCTTGCAGTGATGTCATTCGGAACCTGACAAAGTCCAAAGTTTGGAATTGAATTTGGAATAATTAAACTTTTTTAGCTTGGATTTCTGAGAAAAAATTGAGATTGCTTATGCTAACATATATACATTCATTCTTTTTTACAGTCCAGAGATCAAACAGCATTATAACGACAAAGTCTGCATCTAGTGCACAATGCTTATGCTAACAGTGTCTGGCTCCTGTAACATTACTCAAGACACATTATTGCTTCTGCTTACTTTTTGTAGCATATGATGTCTATTTTGTGTGTTTCAGTTTTGCATCGATTTTGGCTTATAAAATACCCAAGGAAGATGTCCTCTCACTTGCACTGTCGTTTTCTAAACTGGAAGAAGGTGAGGCAATTATTTCCTAAGTGACCTTATATGGCAGACTCACCACCATCTGTGTCTCAGTTACCCAGATCTTCTGATAATTTGAAGTGATGGCCCCTGGAATTTGCCTGGGCTGCTTTTGCTGGGGAGCAAGTGAAGGGAAGGATTTCCCCTTCAGCTGTGCGGCATGGCAGGCTGGGGCAACTGCACTTGGCTGGGCTTGGGCAGCCAATCGGGCACTGGGCCTGCTGATGGAGGGGCACAGCTTCCAGGCACAGGTATGGAAGCCAGAGTTTTCAGCCTGGTCCACCCCTTCAGTATTTAGGGAACCACAGCTTCCCACACCCACCCTTCCTTGATTCTTGTCCTTCATGGTGTTTGGTTTGGGGTACTATGTGAAGTTTTATGTTGAATGCTTGTTACAGCTTTCTTAGGTGGTTTGGGCATTGGACCAGATCCAATTTTGGGGAGGCATAGCCTGTGTGCCTGCCTCCCTGACCCTGGGAACCCCCATAAGGGGTTTCAGGATGGGGCTGTCGGTGTTACACCTAGCTCAGGGGCTGGTGCCCAGCTCTAACCCTCGGGTGGCAAGGGAATCATGCAGTGGCAGATGCCCATGTGGTATCCCTGGACTTCCATCCCAAGGTTGTTCCTCCAACAGGTGGGCTAGGAGGGTGGGTGGTCATCGGCCAGCAGGTGGGTCACTTGATACTGTATCCATGCACTGTACTGCACTGGTGCTCCTACGACTATTCACAATAAAAGCTGTGGTCTTTTTCCTTCAAATCAATGTAGTCTGTTGTTTATTCTTCCCTTCACCTTTGCTACCTCCCTCAGTCTGCAATTCATCCTGTTGGGTCTCAAATTACTCATTGTGCAGCTTCATGGCATTATAATTCTGTCTAGAAATAGCACATATGTTGATTCAAACATTTAGTTACTCAGATGTCATCATCTCCTCAGCCACTCAGGTTAACTGAGGTTTTACTCGGTGTAATTTTGCAGTGTTCCTAACATGCTTTCATTGGGCACAGCCAAGTTAACTTCACAGCATTTAAATAAGTGCAGGATTAATTAATGTGCCATTCCTTCATGACCTTAATCTGGTTTTGACTAGCTATTGCATCCGTAACTGTTATAGTCACCTGGAGGTTCCAAGATACACAGGAGATGCACACAGTGCTGAAAAACACAAAGTGGCTTATGCAGTTACATTAATGTTCAGGAAAAAACTATGTAACTGCACCTCTGGTATGGCTGTAAATATGGAAGTCAGAACTCACTGGAAGCTCCATAGGCCTATCATGGTATCTATAGAATGTCCAATTAATCGTTTGTAATTTTAACTGTGGTCAAGGAATAATGTGACATTTTGAAATATCTGTTAACATGAAATAATTGTGGTATGCAACTGCCATTGAGGAGTAAATCTCTCTTTCTGCCATTTTTAACAGCAAAACATGCCTTTAATATTGAAGAGTACAGCTTCTCTCAAGCAACACTGGAACAGGTAAGGTAAAACAGGATTGTTCATTCCTGTTTTGTTCCCTCCCTGAAACTATCGCTTATTATCCAAAGACCTGCTTTAGAAATGCCTACATCCTTGGGATTATAGTGTGAGATGTTTTACTTTGAATAGCAGAATCTGTACAAAAAAACCACAATCTGTACAAAAAAACCCACTGTTAATAAAGGCTGCTCAACCTGTGTTGAATACTGCATACTTAACATATGGTTTTTCCAAATAAAGTACTATAAACCTGTATTAAAACCACTAAAGCCGTTTTTATAGCATGAATCAAAGAACAGTCCCAAAGTTTCAGTTTATATCAAACAAACAGCAAATTTCTGTTGGTACAATAATAACAAGCTAGCAATAACAGTTTTACAATGACAATATGATAAGCTAACAATAACAATGTTACAAGGGCAACATGACGAACACCTATGTTTCCACTCGTTTTGTGAGTAGTCTTCCTCAGAAGACAGTAAACTCCAAAGGTGTTTTCAATACGATTTCTTTCATGGAGTTGTCTGGAACCAATGTTTTAAAATGCCAAATGTGTACAGGAAATAAACCAGTCTCTGAATCCTCTGAGGAACAGGAGCCTTTCAACACTGATAATGTTGGCCAAAAAAATTTGCTGTGGACTAACATGGCTACCTACATTTTAAATTACACAATTTACTGTTTCATTGACTGTTGCCTAAAAAAGTGGAACCTACCATGCAGTTCTTTGGATCCCAGCCATTTTATGGATCTCAGTCTTGTCTTTAACTTTGATTACATACAACTAATTGCCATTTGCAGTATAAATTGATCTCATTATGAGGATGGGTACATTGACCATTTTGCTGTATCCATGCACTGTATTACAGTATTTACCAATATTGCATCTGGTATTGCATTTTTAAAGTCCATAAAAGATTTATAACTCGACATTGTCAGATACTGTCTGCTGTGAAAATCTGGAATTTTGTATTAATTTAGGCAACCCTCCATAGTTGAGCAGGATTCATTTGGCTTATAACTGTAATGTATTAATACAGTTCTTCCTCATTTTAGGTGTTTGTTGAGCTTGCCAAAGAACAAGAAGAGGAAGACAGCAGCTTTGGAACATTAAACAGTACACTTTGGTGGGAAAGGTCCCAGGGAGATAAAGTGGTTTTCTGATATGTTCAGTAAGATAAAATTCAATAGCTGTCATCCTCTGGGGGGGGGGTGTGTTAGTGTTGTTTTTGTGGAATGTATGCCGAGCACTATGAGTTGGCAGCATATTTCAAAGCACTTGCAAGTATAAAGAATATTGGATTCCCGCATCTTGGAAAAAATGCAAAATAGAGCCTCTTCACCTTCTTTGCCTTATGTCAATACTATAAATGTTTCGAACTGTCTCTTTTTATTGATATATGACTTGTTCTTTTTCCATAAAAATAATAATCACAATTAATTTTCTTCATTTTGTTTGGCTTTATGTAAAATTTAATCATTTGGGGCAATTTGCGCTTTCCTTTTTTGGACACACACATGCTGAATTTCAACAGCCATACAGCATATAATACCTGCAATATTAATGAGCTACTACAAATTTCATTAAAATTAGGTTATAAATTATTTACATATGCTGCCTTTCTGTAGTTTGATGCATATTTTCATCAGAAGACACAGAGCCTTTTGTGACATGCAACATAATGGCTATTGGTTTAGTAATGACCTAACTCATATTTTGCAGTGTTTGCAACTTTACCAGTTCCCTATACACTTTGTCTTTATCTAAGTACAATAACTTAGCAGTCATTGTTTAGGTGGCTTGCACCTCAGGTACACCTTAACTTTTAATAAGCCACCAAATGGAATACTTTGAACTCAATCTGTGGCTGTGATCACACATGTTAAATAATCCACTTTCAATCCACTTTGAATGCACTTTCCAACTGGATTTTGCCAGTTCACACAGTAAAACACCAGTTTGAAAGTGGACTATTTAGTGTGTGTGACCACAGCTACAGTGTTTCTTCTGGAAATTGTCTGTAATAATAAGCATTCGGATGGAAATCCAAGTATGAATTTCCTCTAATTGATCTTAGTTAAAATCTGTAGTTGATCTTAGTTTTTGTTTTAATGTGAAGCTATGCACTATCTGAGTTAGGACCAGCTTTTAAGCTCTTGTCAACCATTACAATACTTCTTCAAAGTAGTTCTGTGCTTCAGAATCAGTATGCATGTTCTTGCGATTCCATCCCCCCCCCCCCGCTTTGGCCTATCAGGTCTGAGCATTAGTCAAATGATCTATAACACAGCAAGCAAAATTGATACTTTTGGAAGAGGTGAAGTTGCACTGTACTTGCCATTCTGATCTACAGTTCGTTGTTCAATGAAGTCCAGTTATATTCCAATCCCCATTTAGTGTATTATAAAGATACCAGTTATATACTTGTTTGTTCTGAAGAGCAAATCAAAATTGTGTCACTGTTGCAAGTTGCACAGAATCCTATACTGCATGCATAGATACATTTAAATAGAGTTTGCACTAAAATAGGTTTTACATTTACTAATCAAACTGTGAAAACCAACTGGCTAAGTCTCTTTGTATATTTCTTAGCATATAGCTTGTTAACTCATTGTTTCAATTAATTGAGTTTCACCATTACAATATCTCATTTGATGATAGATATCACATTTTCAGGGTCTTTCCTTGACAATGAAACTGTAGCTATATGTATCAGAATGTTGTAGTTCTTGTTGTAATAATAATAATGATGATGATGATAAATCTATTCCAGTGTCACTGGTATAAGAAACTATAAGGAATAAAGATTTATGTTTGATAAAGTCACACTTTCATGTAATTTATTTTGGCATATGATGCAAAAATATAGAGATGCTAAAGAGGATGAAGTGGAAAGTATGACCTTATATCAATATGTATAAGATGAATCCTCCACAAAGACCTTAGTCAGTAGGGCTGATACAGTTTTAATGACAGGATTACAACAAATCTGGATTTGTTTCAATAGGCACTGTTTGGAAATACTGATTTTCTCTCCTGGTGTATGTAATTCTGGAGTGGGTAGTTCTGCCCATTGATAGCCAAAGGCAAGGCCCACAAACTTCTTTAAAACTCTGAATGGGAGGGAGCTTTTCCCTTTTCAGAGCCTACCTCCACAGAGAGAGAACATGGTCTGCCATCAGCTTACCTTAGGTCTGGGGACCTTAGACTGCACTCTCTTCTCTTCTCTTTCCTCTTTTGGCTCAACCAGGTTGGATTCAGGAAAAATCTGTATATTCCTCATCCGTTCCCTTCCCTCTGCATGCATAGAGAAGGGGCTAGAGGAAGTTCCTAACCTGTGTGGGCTGGGCAGAGAATCATTGTGGCCACTGATCTTCTCTCCCCCAAACAGCCAGGGGCCTGACTATTAGGAATACGCACCGGCGGAGGGGAGGGACATTTTTTTTTAATTCCAGGGATGACATGCTGGTATTCCAGGTTATTTCAGTCTCAAATACTGGTTTGTTATATGGGCTCGTATTGGTTTTGGAATTCCAACATTATTCAGGTCTGTTATTCCCTATGGAGAATCTTTCCAAGGGGCTGGAGTGGCTTTTTTTCTGAGCAAACGACACCAAAACCACAGTGGCATTGCCCCCCCCCAAACATCAAGTGAATTGGACCAAGGGGCCCAATTCTTTGGGCCCCTTTATAAGGTGCTCCAGCCATCCACCATTGTTTCCTCTGTGTGTGGGGGGGGAGGGGATTTCTTGTTTTCTGTAGGACAAAGAATACCAAGCACACAAGACCAAGAAACCACTGCCCAAAGGTTCCCAATGCAAACAGAATCAACAAGCCCAACAGAACCAGAGTCAAACCAGAAAATCTGTTAGCCGAATTGCCTTGCTCTTTTATCAGTATGGGGGATTATGACTTATAAATTGGCAGTAGGCAAGTATGGGAGCAAGCACCGGTGTATACAGAGGTCCCGCTTCTAACCAGTCATCAGACAGACTGTATTCAGAGTAGAATTAATATTGTTTTATTCAATGTATCTCAAGCACACAAAATCATAAACATGCTTCACATGCACAGTCCTAAGAAACTTAGATAGAAAGGGTAAAGTGATGGTCGCATTAGCAGGAATAATTGTTGCTAGGTTATATTTACCTGTCCTCGACGGATGAACGTTCCTTAGGAAGAATAGGAAGAGAATATAAGGAACGGGGGAGGGGGTCATGTACCTGAACCAGCAAGCCACGTGGAAACTCGTCGGTAGCGCTAAAACCGAGAGCATAGGGAGAGATATAGAAAGTATAGTGCAGGGAAGGAGGGTGGGCAGTGGCTGCACCCCTTTAATGGGGGTACCTGGAGGGGGAGGGCGATGCTGGCCACATCCCCTTGGTACGCCTCTAGTTAGTCTGTCCCAAAAACACACCTATTGGGTAAAGGGAACAAGGGGAGGGGACAAGGAGTGGTCAATATTGAGACCTAGTAACTTAGACTGGAGAGTGGCACCTGGATGAAGAGGGTATGAGTCACCGGGCTAGGGCTATTGTCTCTTGATGGGCTTAGCCGAGCCTGCTGATGGGCGTGAGATTACTTTTCAAGCAACCATGTGTAGAACCTCTCAGTTACGTGCAGTCTTGCAAGTAGATGTATGGGTGGGTGGGGGTTGCCTGCGTGTGTCAGAGGGAGCTCCTTATGGCGTTTGGAGCTTCTTTGTTCTTGGGCTTGGTATGGTATGGCGTTCAACTCCTTCATTCAGTCAGGGAACTGGTCCATCTCAGCAGGTAAGAGGGCAGGTAACCTTGGAGAACCAACTGGAACGCAAGGAAGCAACGCAAAAAAAGACTTTCTTCTCTTATGTGTGTATTCTCAACTGGCATCACTTTGGGTCACCATGCAGTACAGTCCCTTTAAGCAAAGGTTTACACAGTCCATTTTATCACTCATGGCTTGTATAGTCCATAAGAGCACATTAAGTGCCTTGCAGGGCAACAAATCCCAGCAGAACAACAGGCCAGTGCAACAAGCCCAAAATACCTAATGTCAAAGCAGTGAATCCAGGCCAAATCAAGTAGAGCAAAGGAAGGGGCAATGTTTTCAGCCCAACAGAACCAGTGGAGTCCAAATATCTAAGACATCATTATAAAAAAATTAATCCAAAACATGCAAATAAATTTAAGAAAAAAATCTTTTAGAAAGTTATAAAAAAATCACCTCTGGACCATGAACAAGAAAAATGATTTTGATGGTCCTAATTTATTCCATTAATGAAGGGTGAATTACTTAGTTAATGAACTGGCCTTACTTCTTGTGTGTGTGAGTAACATAGATTGACAATTTTGTTAATTACATTTTTAAATTTTATAAATGTCACAATAATTAATCTAATTTTTTTCTTCCTATTTTCAGGTTTTAGAGGTCAGGTCAGAAATCATGTATTTTGTTGTTACATCAATAAAGGTTTTCTGTTCTGTCTGTTCTGTATTTTGTATTTTGAATAATTTTAATTTATGGTGTGTATTTTAACAATTTGTACTACTGAAGAATGCCTTGTGGCCAAAACACATTTGATTTTAATGGAATTGTTACTGTTTATATTGTATTAAAGCTTGGTTAATTTACCGTTATTATTATTCATTCTGTTATTCAGCCATTTGTCAATCTTCTTGGTTACCTGCCAGTGCCCGAGCCACACTTCCAACCAAAGTAAAGTACAGGTAATGCTCACCTTAACAAACCAGTGGCTGGGCTCTGAATAAGTCAGCTTCATGTGTTCATGTGAAATTATTTTGTAAAGTGAGTAGGGAGGTATTGGGTTTGGTTTCTCCTTTGGCAGCCGTTTTAGGTTGGCTCCAACTCCTGTTATGATCATTTTGGGGCGGCACCAGTCCCTCTCAAAATTCAAAAGGTACCTGCAGGCTCAAAAATATTGGGGACCCCTGAGCTACACACATTGATAGAGTGGCCTCAGTTCCACTTTCACATCTACTTCACTTTTACTTTATTAGCTTTTAACAGCCCATAAGCCATATACCAAGAAAAACATTTAAAAATTAAAAACAACAGCAAAGGAGAATTTAGCCACATCAACTATACAGGCTTTATAAAAGCCACTCAGAAACAATCTTAATTTATGGATATCAGAAGTGGCTGAATATTTTGACAACCATTTTGTAAGAAATTTCTCCCTGGCAACAATGTGTTTGGAACAATAAAAGAAAACATACAGTAATGAACTGACCATTGACAAGGAGCAATCACAAAAACATTCCGAAGAAATCCCAGCAATCCCAGCCTCCTCATCTGTGCTGTAGGTAGCGAATTATAGCATGCAAGCATATATGACCATCTTAATTTAGGTATTCTCAGCATATGAAGATAGGATGTGAATTCAAATTTGGCTAAGTATTAGATTCCCAGGTGGAGCAGAAAACATTTCTGTCTGGCATCTTGAAGTAATAGGTTTCAGTCTTGTTTAAAAAGCTTCTTACTAATTAATACTCTTCCCTTCTCTCAAAGAACCCAAAGGCACATCTTCTTCTCTCAGCTTGGTGCAGCAAATCTGTGCCCTGCTAATGTTTGACTCTGAGACTGACACGGGAACAGCTCAGCCTCTGACCTATGGGATCCAGTTCTGCCTGTTGTCTCCAATGGCATCATTTTGGAGTGGATGGGTGACTTGCCCCTGTGACTATGGTATCCTGCTGGAAAGGCTGGCTGGGTACCAGTCTTCAGTGGTTCTGCTCTTACTTGACCAACAATCCAGAAGGTGTTGCTGAGGAATGATGCTTGGCCTCATTTGACCCCTTAGTCCAGTTTGCTTGCAACTTGGAGGTTTTTTAGTGGACAAGCAGCACTATGCTGCAGTTTTGGTGTCATTTGGTTGAAAAAAACGTCTGTCGCACACACACACCCAGTAGACGCCCATAGGTAATAATGGCAAATCTGAGGTTCTTATTTATGGATTTATTTAATTCTTGCTCACTTCTTGTTCCCTCCTGCCTTTATGAAGGCAGATCCCTTTGTTCTCTCCTAGTACAATAGCTGGGGTGACCTTGTTCAGGATCCCCTAGATGGATAGGCACTAACTCTGCTGCAATCTTGCTATCATTTGGTTGAAAAACAGCCACTCAAGCCCCCAAAGGTTCCTCCCGCCTCTCTTGCTGAAAAGAAAGAACAGACCACAAAAAGGAAGGGTGGCAAATGGAGAGTTTTCAGTGGAAAGGGGGGGGGGGGAGATATTGTCAGTCACTGTCAGAGTGGGAAAGTGAAATGAATATAGACACGGTTTTCTTGTTTGTTTGTTTTCAGTGTCAGTGGCCAGTGCCACTTTCTCCCCAGTATCAAAACATACAGTAATGAACTGACCATTGACAAGGAGCAATCACAAAAACATTCCGAAGAAATCCCAGCAATCCCAGCCTCCTCATCTGTGCTGTAGGTAGCGAATTATAGCATGCAAGCATATATGACCATCTTAATTTAGGTATTATCAGCATATGAAGATAGGATGTGAATTCAAATTTGGCTAAGTATTAGATTCCCAGGTGGAGCAGAAAACATTTCTGTCTGGCATCTTGAAGTAATAGGTTTCAGTCTTGTTTAAAAAGCTGCTTACTAATTAATACTCTTCCCTTTTTTCAAAGAACCCAAAGGCACATCTACTTCTCTCAGCTTGGTGCAGCAAATATGTGCCCTGCTAATGTTTGACTCTGAGACTGACACGGGAACAGCTCAGCCTCTGACCTATGGGATCCAGTTCTGCCTGTTGTCTCCAATGGCATCATTTTGGAGTGGATGGGTGACTTGCCCCTGTGACTATGGTATCCTGCTGGAAAGGCTGGCTGGGTACCAGTCTTCAGTGGTTCTGCTCTTACTTGACCAACAATCCAGAAGGTGTTGCTGAGGAATGATGCTTGGCCTCATTTGACCCCTTGGTCCAGTTTGCTTGCAACTTGGAGGCTTTTTTAGTGGACAAGCAGCACTACGCTGCAGTTTTGGTGTCATTTGGTTGAAAAAAACGTCTGTAGCACACACACACCCAGTAGACCCCCATAGGTAATAATGGCAAATCTGAGGTTCTTATTTATGGATTTATTTAATTCTTGCTCACTTCTTGTTCCCTCCTGCCTTTATGAAGGCAGATCCCTTTGTTCTCTCCTAGTACAATAGCTGGGGTGACCTTGTTCAGGATCCCCTAGATGGATAGGCACTAACTCTGCTGCAATCTTGCTATCATTTGGTTGAAAAACAGCCACTCAAGCCCCCCTGAAAAGGTTCCTCCTGCCTCACTTGCTGAAAAGAAAGAACAGACCACAACAAGGAAGGATGGCAAATGGAGTTTTTTCAGTGGAAAGGTTAAAATGTCAGTCATTGTCAGAGTGGGAAAGTGAAATGGATATAGACATGGTTTTCTTGTTTGTTTGTTTTCAGTGTTAGTGGCCACTCTTGTTTGTTTGTTTTCAGTGTCAGTGGCCAGTGCCACTTTCTCCCCAGTATCAGAAAACTTTAGGGGATCCTTAAAATTGAACCGGTTTTGCTTGAGACTTTGGTGGAGTCTTTAGATTAGAGGGAGGTTTATGTTCTATGCAAATTTGGTGGCATTATCCTTATAAATAGCTGGCTAAGACTCTCCAGTAGATTCCCCATTGAAAATGGGCCCAAAGCTCCATAAACCAAAAAATCTAGTGGATTTGCATCCTGAGCTGGCAGTGTCCTATACAAACACAAGCAATTATAGAAAAACATTTCACCTGAACTCTGGATATGAATATATAACATTTTTGTTGGTGCACACTGGTAACACAATACATGGACTGCCTTTGAAAATAGGCAGGGCCGGATTTAGACTTGCTGAGGCCCTAAGCTATACAAAACCCAGAGGCCCCCTACTGTTTTAAATTACATCAGCTGGTCTCAGAAAAATTTAAAATATATACGCCTTTTTAATATTTGAAATCATTTTTTATATTGTGTTTTTATTTGAGGCCCCAGCAGATTGCGAGGCCCTAAGCTGTAGCTTATTTAGCTTATGCGTAAATCCGGCACTGCTTGTATTGAAAAATCTGCACTGGTTAGCCATCTGTTTCCAGGCACATTTCAAAGTGCTTTTTTTTGTTTACCTTTAAGGCTCTAAATGGCTTGGGACCATGTTATCTATCTAGCCTGCCAGGAAAGATCTGCTAGTCAAGCCCAGCTCTCTCCTTCAGAGGTGATGGGAGTGGTAACTAGAAACAAGGAATTTTCTATGGTGGCACCTTGCCTTTCCCCTTGAGATTTTCCTGGCACCTACTTTATTTTCATTTAGGTGTTAGACCAAAACACATCTTTGTACCCAGGCTTTTAATTACGGGTTTTATCTTATCAGCTTTTTAATGGCTTGCTTCTGTTGTATTGGACCTTGGTTGTTCTCAAAACACATGGTAATTATGATAGCACGTGTGAGGCTGTGGCATTTTTTCCTGTACTTTGTTGGTGGGTTGGTTGTTGACTCTTCCCAGGGGATCCTCTTCACCTATTTGGTCCCAGGGCTTAACTGGAAAAGCCTTTCCTCTTCTCTTCTTGGTCTATCAGTTTCACTGGTATTATCCTGGGTATACCAGATCAATAGGTTACCTCCTATACTTAACTGAAACGCTCATGCCTTTTACATTTTACTAATGTTAACAATCTACTGTTAATTTTAGTCTCTTTTTATTTTGTATTTCATATTCTCTTGTTTTATTCTTGCATGTAACCTATCTTGGAAATCTTTGGCTTAGATTCTGTGGATCATGTTTAGTGATGGAAGGGATTTCTGTCAGTAGAGTAGAGAGCCAGTTTGGTGTAGTGGTTAAGTGCGCGGACTCTAATCTGGGAGAACTGGGTTTGATTCCCCACTCCTCCACTTGCACCTGGCTGGATGACTTTGGGCAAGCCGTAGCTCTGATAAGAGCTGTTCTTGAAAAAAGAGCAGTTTCTGTCAAGAGCTCTCTCAGCCCCACCCAACTCACAGGGTGTCTGTTGTGGGGAGGGGAAGGGAAAGGAGTTTGTAAGCCGCTCTGAGACACCTTCGGGTAGTGAAGAGTGGGTTATAAATCCAATATCTTCTTATTCTTATTCTTATTCCCTTCACTGCTCCTACTACAGCCCAGAATGCCCCAGGGAAATGCTGCTCCTAAGAGATAGAGAACCCTGAGGATGAGGGGGGAGTAAGAGGTCTGTAGTGAGGGGAGGGAGTGGCTCACCCCTGGAATAATTCAAAGGGATCCATCTCAGTGCAAGAAAACGTATACATCTTTTAAGTAAAAACAAGCATTGCAATGCTGATTTAATCTACAGCCTTTTAATTTCAGTCTCCAGAAATGGAAATTCAACTGTAATAAGAACTGTGCCCCTTGATGGAATGCTTTTCAAAGTAAATGCAAAGCAAAAGCCTGAGTCACTATGGCAGTTATACAGAAATATGCAAATATAGAATTTTCAGACAAATATGCAAAGATCTTAAAAACTAGACCCCTCTAGTATTTATTCCTCATTTTTTTATACAGGTCACAAAATCTTTATTCAAATAGTATATTTTTTCTTTGTCCCTCGCTTTAATGTATATGACTACTATGGGTATTAGAACAGAGTTTCTACTATGGGCGTTAGAACAAAGCACACTTTGTCACACTTGCACACAAAAGCTTACACCGTGAATAAACCTTTGTCGGTCTTAAAGATGCCACTGGACTCAAACAGTGTTCTGCTGCTTCAGACCAACACAGCTACCCTACCTGAAACGATGGGTATTAGTCACATGGGCATACAGAGAGATGTATAAACTTCAGGTTCTTGTCTTATGAGGACTCCATTCTACAGGCATGCAACTCTACCATCTGAGTAAATACAAAAGTACATGGAAATAATCCAGTGGCGAGCCTTCGAAATATTTATATAAACTATATATAAACAGGTTCTAACTGCTGGTGCATGCTACTTTGTTTCAAATAGTTGTACATAACAAATGAGACAGAGACACTATATGCTGTTGCTTCTGCCTCGCATCCTCAAGGGATCAGTAGAGTAAATTTTTGGATTAAGCCAACAGCAGTTTAGAAATCATCCTGCTGCAGTTGTTTCCATTCAAACGTTGAATCCAGAGCCGCATCAAAACGATCTCGCTCTTGTTCTTTGCAAAGTTCTAGGAAAACCTGAGTGATACAAGAAAAACATAGTTTCTTCAGCTGAACAATAGAGTGGCTGAAAGGAACTGCATGAATTTTAACAAGGCTATTAGTGGCTGGAGAAGCGAAGGGTCATGCTGATTTATTTGAATGCATAAATACAACAAAAATAAGTTTCAGTCATATTTGATCAGGACTCAAGAGTCTGTTTTTAACGATGTACTTTATCAGATGCCAGTCCTCTCAAATTCATTTACCTCAAATTTGGCAACTAACTAGTCCATATGAACACATGAAATTGCCTTATAGTGAATCAGACTGTTGGTCCATACAAGTTAGTATTATCCACTCAGACTGGCAGCAGCTCTCCAGGGTCTCAGGCCGAGGTCTTTCATAACCTACTGCCAGATCTTTTAATTGGAGATGCTCGTGACTGAACTTTGGAACTTCTGCATGCCAAGCAGAGGCTCTATCACTGAGCCACAGCCCCTCCCCTAATAGTCCACACTATCACTTTGGCAGCTCTGGTTGGGTTTGAGCCAGTGAGCCATCTATCTTTCCTTTGTTCCCCTCTAACTGACTCAGTACTGACAGAAGAGAAAGCACAAGGCGGTTTCATCCTCTTCCCCCTCCTCAGTGGAGTCCCCCAATCTGTGTGATTATTAGCCCATATAGGTCTTGTGACCCCAGGTATGAGCTCTCCTTGGGTTGCAAAGAACTGCTGGAGGGAGAGAAATGAGAGAACAGTCCACAGACCTTGTGCCTGTGGCACAGACTAAACAAGCCCGTTTGGTGGGTACATGAGAGAGGGCATTTTTAATGGCACTGTATCCAAGCCATGATACGTAAAAATATATAATGACAATCACCTGCTGGGCAGTATGAACACAACTCATTGTACTGGATGTGGAGATCCAGTGCTAGTTACTATGTGCACAGTTCTGTTTTGCATTTAGTTTTTCAACAAGAAGATGATGTACACAAAGAAGCTGGATTGTGATGAATGGGGATAGCCTCCATCCAGATTAACCCTTTCCATTAGGGATACAATGCAGGCGTTTCCTATTATAAATGTCCTGTTATTGAATTTTTTAATCACATTACCTGTTCCAAGGTGTTCAGGGAAAAGCTGTACTCCTCCAGATTGAAAGTTCTTTTAGCTGTGTGGATATAAAGTTAAACTAATTACATTTTACTGCCAGTTGGACAACATTAGTTGAGGAGCAGGACTGCACCTTCCACCCTGTACACTCAGCATGCCTGTTACGCTCATCTATCAATGTAACATTTGAAGGGAATGTAGACGGATAAAATGCAATGTGCATGGACCCAAATCACATGGCTGGTTTCTACCATACAGTTTGGTTCTACTCATGTTGAAATTTGTGTGCATATACTTGGTTAAGACTAAACTTCCCATCAATCCAGACAAAAAACGTACCCCCCCCCCCCCCAAGTAGGCTGTTGATCTCCTCAAAATGCTGCTCTTGGGGGATAAGGGACCACAAAGAATGACTTCAGGAAGGGCTGTACAAGAAAGGGGAAAATGGCAAAAACTTCTGTTAGTGGAAAGTTTATCCTGGATCTAACCCATACTCTTCAAAGCTTATGCCCATGTATGGACATCCAAAGAGGTGGGCCAAGGTAAGCTCACTGAGTAGGTATGGTGGGAATACATGATGCCTCTCACTCATCAGTCATCAACAAAAAGTAATAGTCAAGATCATCCAGAATCACGTTTCATACAGCTACCTTTCTCTAGCATGGAGAAGGCTTTTGAAAGGGGCAGTGCATCCTCCATTGGTATTTTGTAGACTAACAAAGTGGATATCCTAAGAGGAGGGGGAAAATATATACAGCAGTTAATACCTTGCAGAAAACAAGTGGGCTACAAGGAACTTATGATCTTTCTCACTGGCTTTTGTTTGTAAGGGATTGAATAACCAACAGTTATGCACCTCACGCAAACATATGTATGAAGGTCCCAAGGACTCTAGGTATACTTCCAGCATAAATCACTTCTAGCTGTAATCATTTTCCTAAGCAACTGTGATAAAGAAGACTGGGGAAAAGGAAGAACCAAATTCGTATTATTGCCCAATCTTTTTCACCTTCTTTGTTCAAAAAAACCAAAAGAAAACGCTGGATTTGTTCTTCCGTACTGATGGGGAGGGTGATCTGGAGGTAGGAATGTTAAAGCTTACTCCCTTGTCATGGACAGATCATTACCTGATAGATTTTAGACTCAATGCTTCCTCTACTCTCTGCAGGAGTGCTGAACTCATTAATATGGAGTCTTTTCTGTGGCAGTGATGGCAGCAACAAGGCAATAAGACGCTGCCATCATTGCATCTGCACATAATCATTCAGTGGAGCAACAGGGAATTAGACTCTGTAATCAATTTGCTAATTACTTTGCGGATGAAATTGCCCAGATTGAGTGGATCTGGGTGATTTTATCTGCAAAGTAATTAGCAAGTTGATCACAGCAGGCCATCATGTGGTGCTGGCATAGATGCATCAGATGTTCATCCATCACATAGATGTTCAGATGCTTGTCGATTTATATGGATACTTTTCAGCTTGAGGCAGTTTAGGATGTGGACAGGATTCTTGAAGTCTTAATTAATCCTTTCACTAAATCTCTTTAATTCCAAAAAAAGAGAGAAAAAGAATCAGAGCTCTGAAAAGCTTGCACTAATTCTGGAGTGGCAGTATCCCCCACTACAGGCTGGCCAAGTGTCTCTTACCCTGTTTTCCTCTCCCCACCCCCTAACTCAAATAATGTCTTCAGCATTCTGTAGCTCATGAAAAGCAATAAGCATGTTCCATACTGGTTGGGCCTTTTGTTCTTTTTTAAAAAATCACAAAATACTTTTCTGATAATCCAGGTCACCCCCAAATATGCAGAATCACCTTGAATTGTCTAATTTCATTTATGTAGTAATAGGATCATGAAGTTTACTATTTGAAGGAATTACCCTGTCTAAAATAATTCAAGAAATCTTGTAGCAAGCTGTAGAAATATTTGGTAGTTACCTTTCCTGGCGAGCTGCATGTGGGAAGATCTTCAGAATTTCAGCATTCACAAGCTCACCTTCCTCTACTCCCTTTACTTTTATTTGCAGCAAATAATTTTTGCCAAATTTGCTTTTCAGATACTGAATAGAACCAAGGCACCTAGAGAAGGGAGGAATGAATATACAACGCATGGACACAAACTGCAATTAATCATAGTTTGTCTTACCTTGGAAAGCACTGCAGGCTCTGACACACCACATGATAAATTTTTTGGGATGTTTACTATTTGATAAATATAAGTGGGAACCCACAAGGACTTGCAGGAGGCATGTCTCTTCCCCCTCTCCCACTATTTCCTCTTTCTCTTTCATTAAAGCCTCCCATAGTCTTTTCCTGTTTCCTTCTCTCCTAGGATTGCCAACCTCTGGGATGGGGATGGAGACCTCCTGGAATCACAACAGATTTCCCGGCTACAGTTCCCCTTAAATTTGCCAGATCGAGGCTGGGAAATCCCTAGAGATTTGGGGGTGCAGCCTTGGGAACGTGAGATTTGGGGAGGGAAGTAACTTCAACAAGGTATAATGCCATAAAATCCACCCTCCAAAGCAGCCATTTTTTTCCCAGGGGAAGTCATCTGTGTCATCTGGAGAGCAGTTTTAATTCCAGATGATCCTCAATCCCCACCAGGAGGTTGGCAAAACTAGTTCCCCCACAGGAAATGGCTGCTTTAGAGGGTGGAATCAATGGCATTTGAGATCCCTCCCCTCCTCAATCCCTTCTCCCCAGGCTGCCCCATCCAATTTATAAGAATTCCTAACCTCTTTCTTCCCTGTGACGTGCACGCGAGGGTGGGGTTTCCCCCGGGGCCCGATTCCGCGGGGGCGGAAATCAGGCCTCCAAAGGGGGGGGGGAAATCCGCCCCCCGGGGGGATTTGGCAGCCCTACCATATCCTTGCCCTGCTTCCTTCTCTCCTCAGCTACTCACCAACCTACCTTTTATTTGCCTCCCTTCTTCAGCTTCGTTTATTCGTTATTTACTTCATTTATACCCCACCTTTATCCACAGTGGGGACCAAAGCAGCTTACATTATTCTCTTCTCCTTTTTATCTATGCAACAACCGTGTGAAGTAGGTTAGGCTAAAAGTATGCGATTGGTCAAAATCACCCAATGAGCTTCCACAGCAAGATGGGGATTCAAGCTGGTTCTCCAAGACCCTTCTCTGAAGCTCTAACTGCTATACTACACTGGTTTTCATAGAGTTGCAACCAGGCCTAGAGTGCCAGCCTCCAGGTGAAGTCTGAAGATCTCCTGGTATTACAACTGAACTCCAGATGACAGATATCTGTCCCCCTGGAGAAAATAGCTACTTTGGAGAGTGAACTCTATGATCTTATATTCAGACTGTCGGTTACAGAACTCTTACGCTCACATTGTTTACCCAACAATTTAACAAAGATCAGAAATAAACTCCAAGAAAAGACAGGAATTAATGGGGGTGGTTTGTTTGTAAATAGTTAACCTTCTCAATAACATTTTATCAGATGATGAGAAAGTAATGGTTGACTATCAAGTTTAACATGAAAGGCAGAAGCCATTGCCTAATGAACTCTTAATGAGGAGACAGCTTGACCAGGTTACTGGAGATGTAGGATCTAATCCAGTGTTGCAAGCACAGAGGCTGTTAGAGGGTCAAAACCAAACTATTGTGCAAATGAAAAGAAAATGTTTCCATTCTGTGAGGTAGGAATGGTGTATGAAAAGTGTCTAAGAAAATGAAGGTATTTTACCTATCATTAGAGTAAACATATGCATAGTAAGATTAAGGGTATGGGGCAATTCCTGAACTTGAAACTGCAAGTTCTTAGAATAGGGAAAATGATCTTTGCTCTACTATCTTTGTAGTAACCACAATGCAATAATATATGTTCCAACTGTTTCTATGTTCCTGGAGCCACAACGGCATAGCCGCCCAATCAATGGCACCTTTTAATACCAGCCTTCTAGGACCACCGAAGGATAGATATTGCATCTGGCCATAGAATAAGCCCTGCATTGTGATGGAATCTCAAGTAGTGATAAGTATGTTGCAGGTGCAAGTATGTACTTCAATCTCTATAAGGCCAGATGGATCAAGGCTTTACACACAAAAGGAGTCTGGGTGAAGAGGAAACATGATGTAGTGGCCCTTGGCCATTTTTAGTAGGTGAGCAAATGAAGGCTGGGGAAAGTGTTCGGGGTACAATTGGAATGGTCTGGACAGTCTCCTAAGTAGTTATTAAAGACAGAACTGGGAGGACAGAGAAATAGAAAAAAACCATCCTGCGACTTCCTCCTGATATATATTGTGCTGCAGTACACAACCCTTGACACTGTGGGCTGAAAAGTGTAAGTGGCCAATCTCAGGCTTGAAATATCTCCTCCAGCTAATGAAGGGAAATAATCATGTTTAGGGGTGTGCAAAGAAAAAACACCCTTGGTATTTTTCAGGTTTGGGTATATTGAACCCAAAAATATTGGTATTTCCCAATATTCCCAAGTCCCCAACCAAGGCAGCACAGAGCTGTCAGCTCCTTTTGCCCCGGCCTAGCTCCTCTTGCAGCTTGGTTTAAACCGAGCTGCAAGAGGAGACCGCCAGCCACAGCTGGGGTGGCACAGAGCTGAGCTCAGCTCCGCACTAGCTCTGCTGGGGCTGGCTCACAGTAAAGCTGAATAAAGGTAAAGGTAAAGGTCTCCCTTGCTCGAAAGCCAGTCGAATCCGACTCTAGGGTTGTGGTGCTCATCTCAATTTCAAAGCCAAAGAGCCAGCGCTGTCCGAAGACGTTTCCGTGGCCATGTGGCCGGCATGACTAAACACCAAGGCGCACGGAATGCTGTTATCTTCCCACCGAAGCGGTACCTATTTATCTACTTGCAATTTCTTGCTTTCGAACTGCTAGGTTGGCAGGAGCTGGAGCTAGAGACGGGAGCGCACTCCGTCATGCGGCGCACCCGGGTCTTGAACTGCTGAACTACAGACCTTCCACAGCCTGCAGTTCAGCGTCTTAACCACTTGAGCAACCGCAGCTCCAATAGCTGAATACTCTCGCATAAAAGCAAAAAAATAAAAATAAAAAAGGCTTTTTTGGGCTCAGCTATATTGGTAGCCCAAATTCAGCTTAACTAATACATGAAAAGTACCCAAAAGATATTTTCCAGGTATTTTTTGGGTTTGGTTTATATTGAATGCACATCCCTGGTGCTGTCGTGTCTGTTACACTGAATGCATCTGCCGCATGTTATCCAACCTAGGCATCTGAATGGCTGTACTGAAATCTCTGAAAGGGAGTGAAGTCCATAGGCCTCGAGCTGTTTCAGAGAGAGTCAGAGATGCGGTTCCACTAGGTTTACCACCTCCAGGTTGGGAAATTCCTGAAGATTTGGGGGTGGAATATATCTCTGTAGTCTGGCAATCAATTGTAATTCCAGGAGATCTCCAGGCCTCACCCAAAAGTTAGCAACCCTAGGTTCTACTTTGTTTGCTGATGTAAAATTGGACTGTTATGTTTTCCATAAGGCCCCAAACTACTTTGCCTCTGAGAAGTAGGAGGAACAAAATAAAGGCCTGTGAAGACTCATTCACCTCTCAACAGAAAATAAGATGCATGGTGAAACCTACCTGAGTAGTCCAGACACCGTGATAGCTACTCGGTCACACATTGCCTCAGCTTCTTCCATATTGTGAGTTGTCAAAAGGGCTCCTTGGTGTTTCCCCTTTAGTAAAGCATTAATTACTTTCCTGCAGAGAACATACAATTTACTATGGAAAAGGAATGAAATGGCAGCCACAATGGCCTGTTCCTACCAGCTTTTTTGAACCTCTTTAATTCAGGATGCAGTACCATCTGCAGATGTAAGAAGAATGGAGCACTTCTTGTCCCAGAGGAGTGCCAAGAAGGAAAAGGCACCCCAGAAACAACTACAGCAAAACAATCACCAGACAGAAAAGTTCCTGTGGGGAGAGACTGAAAGATGCCAAAGAAGCCAAGATGTTTGGGGGTGGTGCCTGGGGAGGACTAAGTCTGGAGAGGGGAGGGAGCTCAGCAAGGATGTAATATCATAGATGTTGCCCTCCAAAGCTGCCATTTACTCTAAGGGAATTATCTGTGTAGTAGGGTGGTCATCTCTGGGTAGGGAAATTCCTGGCTATTCATGGACAGGGCCTAGGAAGGGCAGAGTTTGGGAGAAAGGAGGGAGCTCAACAGAACTGTGATGCCATGTAGTCTACCCTTCAAAGCGGCCATTTTCTCCAGAGGAACTGATCTCTGTAGTCTGGAGTTCAGTTGTAATTCCAGAAAAATTCCTCCCCCCTTAAGGTTGGTAACCCTGCGTGCATCTCTTTCTCATGGAAGCAAGTCTGTACAGTATATATTTGTACCAATAAGGTTGTATGTTTTGGATGTCCTTGCCTTCTCTGATCAGGCAGGTGGCAACCCCAGAGAGGGCCTTTTCAGTCATGGCACCAAAACTATGGAAATCTTTCCCAGGGATGTTAATTTGTCCCCTTCTGTCACTGTCTTCCGCCAGCAGGTAAAGACTTTTTCATTTCATCTGGCATTCACTCAGTGATCTTTTGTTCCTGCTGTACATTTAATTAGTGCTTCTTGTGCTTTTATATTTGTATTTTAGCTTTGGTTTTAACTGGTTTTATGATGTGTTTTATAATCCTTTGTTTTAACTCTTAGCCAGCCTTCTTGGTCTTGATTGAGCAGAAAGGCAGGATATAAATTTTGTAAATCAATATAATAATGATATTTTGCCTACAGTAGTCAATAAGGCACTTCTAGAATAAAGCATTTGATAATCATGCTGTAGCAATTATAAATGAGTAAATATCGATATAACATTGTCAGACTCCTGGTCAAGTTATTCTCAACAACACTCTCTTTGGCAGTTATTGAGTTATAAGCAAGGTCCAGGTTGTAACAGTATTGTGTCAGATCTGAAGATTTTGGCAGGTACAATCATAGATATAGGTAATTCAAATGTGACCTCTCCCAATGCTCACTCATATGTCACATCCACTCTGCCTATCCATAGTGACTCTACCCCCTTTCACCTGGGAAATGTACAATCCCATTATCTACCAAAGCAAGCTGACACCAAAAGTTTCAAGGACGTTCCTCTGGGAGAAGAAGGCTTCTTTGGAAGAGTTACAGCCTCTAAGATAGCGCAGTCACACACTCCACAGGCTCCCACCCACCTAAGTAATCCCCCCCAGCATCCATGGCAAACTGAGAAGAGCGATGTTTGACAAAAATCTTCTACAATAGGAATAATGTTTTAAATTTAAGAGTTGCATCACAGAACTAGTTTTAGACATATTGTTGCCCAAGATTGAATATTTAAATGCTAGCTGCCACCTAAATATCCCTGTTGGCTCCCTTTCATGCCCTGCACCTGATACCATAGTCTTCACTTTCCAGTTCCTATAGTCAGTCCTCACTTCCCCAAACCATTTCTTGCTTCATAATGAGCTCTGGCCCCAAAGTTCTGCTTCTCTCTGGTGGTCATCTGTGCCTCAGCCACAAATAGGCCTTTTCCACCATTCTCTGTAGTCTTGTCATGCCACTGCAGCTATTCTTTGCCTAACTAGGGCCCCGGTCACACAGAGAATCTGCCGTGCGAAAGGCATGAATGTTGGGTGGATTTTCAGGGTGTGATCACACCGCACATCTGGGAAGCGTAATGCACCTGTGGCCAGCCCGTGGCGTCCTGATGAAGATGCAGAGTTAAAAAGTACCAAGGAAAGTGCACTGGTATCCAGAAAACACGCGGCACAGGTGAGCGTCTGATTGCGGGAGCGCTAGTATCCCATGGCATCCGGCGCCCGTCCACATCCCGTCGCAAACCGGATGTTTTCCGTAAGTGCATGTGCACAAACACAAAACTGAAAGCCGTGCTGCTCCACGGAACTGTGCATGCGCACAGACGCGAAACGCTTGTGTGATTGCGCCACGCCGCTTCTTTGCCACGCTGCAGCATCGCTGTGTGATCGCCAGCTAACAGCCTAAGCACGGAGACTCGGGGGACCGTGTGATCGGGCTACTGTACTTTATTTTGCTCCAGGGTGAACAGCCACGCCTCCCCACCGCGTTATCTGGCTCGTGTGACCGGGGCCTAGTTCTGATACTACAGACACTATTACCTTCCTTCATCCTTGGTAATTTCTGAACAACATAAGCAAGATCACCCCATGATGTGCTGGAGATTAAAGTTACTTAATGATAGGGGAACCTTTTTAGGCTAATTAGTAAAAGTATCTAAGTATCTGAATTAGTAGAAGTATCTGAAGAACACTGAACAATTCTAATTATTTACTTAGGTGCTGTAAATTTAGTGTTAATGGTGTTATGACGAACCCCCTTATTTCGGAGTATGTGGAGATTTGCTCCTTTAATCTTTCACAAGTTAGAGCAGTCTTATTTTAAACTGACACTGTCTGCCCACCTCTTTTAGCCAGGAATCTTCTGTCACACACCCAGCCACTTATTGATGAGACCTTCTTATAAATATTAATCTCTGTGGCTTTTCATGAGCACCGCCCTTTTTCTGGGATGAAGTTTATGGTTTAACTGTGTTAGATACTTAGCTCTGTCAGACACTGAGGCACCCATGACATGGAACAATGAAACCAGATTCTTTTTTGGACACCCACTAGTCCAATAAATCCTCCTGGCACACACTAAATCCACTAAAGCCAACTCTCTCCAGCAGGGTATAGATTTTCTGTGAGAGGAACGTGAATTTATTGTTTAACCACCAGGAGTTTATTTTCCTTTTTAAGACTCCTTAGATTTTACTATGGTATAGAACCACGTTTGGCTTTTCTCAGATTCCCTTAATATTGAAATCTGTAGAGAAATCTCATTTGCTCTTTGGACTCAGCGAGGTCCAACATGACTTGTCAGCAGTGTTCACTCTAAGCTGAGTTAGTGTGAGCTAGCTCGGTTTTTTAGCCTCCAGCTCACACATTTTTGTCTTAGCTCAGGAAGAATGGCTCCAGAGCACACTAATTTATGCAGTAACTACTGGACCCCCCCCCCAGGAACATGAATTTCTTGTTTAACCACCAGGAGTTTATTTTCCTTTTTAAGACTCCTTAGATTTTACTATGGTATAGAACCACGTTTGGCTTTTCTCAGATTCCCTTAATATTGGAATCTGTAGAGAAATCTCATTTTGCTCTTTGGACTCAGCGTGGTCCAACATGACTTGTCAGCAGTGTTCACTCTAAGCTGCGTTAGTGTGAGCTAGCTCGGTTTTTTAGCCTCCAGCTCACACATTTTTGTCTTAGCTCATGAAGAATGGCTCCAGAGCACACTAATTTATGCAGTAGCCAAATTGTTCACTCACAACTTTAATGTCAGTAGCTCACAGAGTAGAAATTTTGCTCACAAGACTCCACAGCTTAGAGGGAACATTGCTTGTCAGTCCCCTGGCACAGGACCCACAGATGAAAAACAACTGACAGTCTCAACAGCCAAACTCCAACTGTCAGGAGGGTTTTTTTAATCATTAGAGACCCCCCCCCTTAATTCTGCATCAGAATTACATCACCACTGCTAGTCCTGTGATGGCAGGTGTCTTTTCTTGCATGCTGATCCCAAACCTGGAGTCTATCACAGGTGTGCTATGCACTGTCAATTTACAAAGCCAGATCTAAATACTCACCACACCTGACGTTTTCCTTCAGGATCCATTCCTGTTGTCGGTTCATCTAATAGCATCACAGTTGGATTACCCAGCACACTCAGAGCAAAGCATAACTAAAATGAAGGAAAACAGATTTCGTCTTTCAGTGGGAGATAGCATAATCCTGTGTATCTTCAGTGACAACCGCCTAGGTGCAGAGGCCCCCAAAATGTGTTTACCAAGATATGGTTGAGAACAAGTTGAAACATGCCACTCTTAAGGAAGACAAACTAGCCAGGAAGAGATGTTTATAATGCATTTAATTTATCACATAACTTTCTTCCAAGGCATTCAGGGTGGAGGTCAGAGGGCTATCATAGAGAAACCTGTGATGTAGATTAGTTTATTGATGACTCGTGGACCGGTTGGAGATGAACAAAATCCTGGGAAGGGAACAGGCTGGTTTTAGGCAAGGGGCTTGTGCAGATGATCATCTTCTGACATTACAGTTCTTAATCGACAAATATACAACAAAGAGTTGGAGGATCCTTACTGCTGCCTTCATGGATTTGGAGCTGGCTTTTGATACCATACCCCATGCCCAATTGTGGGACAAGCTAAAACTAACATCTACTGGCAAGGGACTGTTGGCTTTGATTGAGATTCTGTATTCTGATCCCACTGCATAAGCCCG